ACGACCGATTCTGATCAGTGTGAACATGGCCAGACGTCAAGGGCCCCCCACTAGGATCATTGCACTTAAACTGCCACGGCTGCACGTCGCCCTGCTTGCGACCCCTGGAAACGGCAGACGTTCGCACGGTAGGGGCGGACACTAAACGCTGATTGGGTATGATAGGGATAGGAGGGAATGGCGCACAACCAAGAAGAACACGTATCTCGCCGGCCTGTGCAAGTGCATCGCTGCTGCCACCACTGACGCAATGCGAACCATGTGGGAAAGGGGATGGGGACAGTATTGAGCCCATTGTTCCGGACGACGTGAGGGAGGATGGTAGAGTACGTGACGGATTGCTACGCTTCCGTGTCTCCTGGGATCCCTATTCTGGCACAGACGAAGGATGGGCTCCTGACTTTGTTTCTAGGCGCACGCGCCGTGTCCGACACGACCCCGAGCTTGATCGCTTTCGACCGATACATGTCCCTCCGACAGCAGATCAGGCTATCTCTGCCACCTCACAGGTTCGCGATGACATTACGGAGGTTAGACCTACAGGCCCGCCTGAAGCTGATGAGGAGCAGGAGTCTGTAGAGGCACGTGTTTTTCTTGGTGACTCGCAGAGGGAAACAGATCCCCCCCTCCCGCCCGCCCCTGCGCCGCTAGTGCCTGAGGTGTTGGAGCGCATTGCGCAGAACCGTGCGCAGGCACGTAACGTAGCAGTGCGCAGAACCGTGCGCAGGCACTCCAGGAAGAGAGACAGGCTCGGTTGCGCGAAGTAGCCCCTTGGACCCTGGATCCTAATTTTGGCAGAAACTTGTTTGGATAAGCTGCTGCCTGTCATCTATCGTGAATTGGTGGGGGTTGTTGTTCAGTTGTGTGCGGATAAATGGAGGTGCAGAATAGCAACTTGCCGTTGTCTTTTGTGCCGCCTCTTTCTGCCACCTGTCTCTGTCTGCCCGCTCTCTGGTGGCATGCAACACCGGGGGGCCTACGGCATGATGACTCAGGACCATGCTGTTGCTGCCTTCTTTGCCTCGATCACGATCTCGGCGCTTGTCTCTCCGTTCTGTCTCCAGTTGCCGCCCTAGTTCGAGAGGCTTCGGGCGCCGTATGTACCTTGTACGGCGAACCTCTCTCGGGGCGGACAGACACGCGCGCCTGCCCGCGCCCGCGCATCGGGCACGCCAGGCCATCTCAACTTCCCCACTTCCCTGCCCAGCCTTCAGCTTACTGTGGTCGGGACCAGGGGTGGGATTGGTACGTGGGCCTCTCTTGCCTTTTGGTGCTCCTCTTTTGGTTCGATCTCTAGCTGCCGCCCCAGGTCGAGAGGTTTCGGGCGCCGTACCAGGCACGGCGAACCTCCTTCGGGGCGGTCAGACACGCGCGCAGGCCCTGCCCGCGCATCGGACAAACCAGGCAGTTTCACCTTCCCCACTTCCCCTGGGTATAGGTTTGTTGGCGGGGGCGTAGTTTGCACTGCGGCGATGGTCGAGCGTGCGAAAATCGTGCACTCCCGCTGGCCCCTGCCTCGCTCACGCCCACTTAGCTGCCCTTTCGGCCTTTCGCAGGCTATCTCACCTGCCCCCCTCTTTGATCAGCCTCCTCTTGCCTTTTCCCTACTCCTGTTGCGTTACAATGCGCCTTGAACGCCTTCCGACGACATGGGGGTGGTACGGGTTAGGTGACGGGGGCGGGGAGATTCACCAAACCTTGGCGCCCGTGCTGCTAAATACCGCGTGTTTCTGCCAGCAGCTAGTGAATACCGCACCAAGCTGACCGCCTCCTCAGCGAACCAAAGCGCAATCCAAATCCTCCTCCCGACTCCTCCCTCCTCCCCCGCCCTCCCTCCGCCCTCCCGCCCTCACCCCTCCTCTCTCCAGCATCCTCCCTCCTCCTCCTCCTCCTCCTCCTCCTCCCTCCTCCTCCTCCTCCTCCTCCTCCTCCCTCCTTCCCTCCTCTCCCTCTCTCCTCCCTCCTCCTCCTCCTCCTCCTCCACCTCTTCCTCCCTCCTCCCCCCTCCTCCTCCCTCCTCCTCCCTCCTCCCTCCTCCCCCTCCTCCTCCCCTCCCTCCCCTCCTCCGTCCTCCCTCCTCCCGTCTCCCTCATCCCGTCTCCATGCTCCCTCTCACTGCTCCCTGCTCGATGCTCCCTCCTCCCTCCTTCTCCTCCTCCTCATCCTCCTCCTCCTCCACCTCCTCCTCCTCCTCCGACTTCTCCTCCTCAAGATGTTCCTCCTCCTCCTCCTCCTCCTCCTCCTGCTGCTCCTCCTCATCATCCACCCTCCTCGTCCCCTTCCTCCTGCTCCCCCTCCACCCCATATCTCCCCCCCCAGGCCAGGAATGGCGGAGGGTGGTGCTCGGCCGAGGCGGCGGCGGACGGGAGGAAGGGAAAGACAGAAGGGGTGAGGCGAGGGAGGAGAGGGGAGGGGAGGGGAGGGGAGGGGAGGGGAGGGGGTGAGGTGAAAGGAGGGGAGGGAAGGAAAGAGCAAGGGAGGGGAGGGGAGGGGAGGGGAGGGGAGGGGGAGGGGGGGGAGGGAGGGAAGAAAAAAGGGGAGGGAGGGGAGGGGAGGGGAGGGGAGGGGAGGGGAGGTGAGCAAGGGAGGAGTGATGGCGGGAGGAGGGAGGACAGGAGGAGGGGGGACGAGGACCAGACCAGGAGCAGGACAGGGAGCAGGACAGGGAGCAGGGGGGGGAGGAGTGAGGAAGATCTTCGCCTCGGTATCCTTATTGCAGATGCTCTCGACGTGATGGCGGGGAGCCTCACACAAGCGCCTGCCCCCTTTGAGCCCCTCCGACATCTCAACCCGCACGCACACCGCGCCAGGGAGTAGGAGACCGACAACGATGACAACCAGAGCAGGAGGAACAAGGAATAGGGAGGGAGGGAGGCGGGAGGCGGGAGGGAGGAGGGACGAGAATAAGGGAGAAGAGACAGAGAGGAGAAGGAGGAGAAGGAGGACGAGTGTAAACCAAAGAGGCATGAACGATGTTGGACTACACCCACCCTCCAAGCTCCCTCTTCAAAGGCCCCTACAACGGCTCATTTATACTGAGGGAACTACCTCGTTGGAAGACCACTGTTTGAAGACCCTGAGGCATGCCAAGATATTGTTCTCGGGATTCCAACGCCATGGATCAACCTGACTGTTGCGTCTTGAGTATCCCGAATCTTGCCAAAACGCCATTCCTGGGACTTGAGCACCGCGAACCAACATACATTGTGCACCCTCATAAACCTGAATGCTTCCAAAACACCATGTCTGGTACGTTGATCATGGGAGTCCGTGAAACGCTTGCAATGCTTTTAAAACAAATGTGCGCGGCGCTAGAGCGAGAGCCACATTTTGAAAATAAACCGCCCTCGACCCGTGAAACTCAAACCAGACCGCATCGACGCAGAGTGGAGATCGAATCGGATTGGCCGCGCCAGGAGTCACAACAGCGACACCCAAACATAGCCCCCCCGCCGAACCCTCCGAATACAGTGCGGGCGCGGCCGCAAGAAACCCTCGCAAGAAACCCAACCCTGAGAACCCGTGCGCGAGGTACACCTGAGGGGAAACCTGGAGCACCCTGAAACGCAGCGCGAGGAGCGAAGAAACCCAGGATACCCTGACGAAAAGCAAATGGTTTCTTGATGCGCGCTCCCACTGTATCAGACTGAATCGGATCGGGCTGGCCGGAATCGATATGAATCGGATGGACAGGATCAAAGTGGACCCTGCAAGGAGAAGGAGGGGGGACGGAAGGGGGGAAGGAGAGAGGGGTCGAGGTCCCGCTTCCTTTCTGAAGGGGCCCTGGGACACACAAATAAATAGACACAAGTGGCAGGATTCCCCATATTTTCCGGGTTTTTGTCTCCCCCCCCACATCCCATATTTTCCCATATTTTCTAGGGAATCGACGATTAATTGTGTCTGTGTGTGTTTTTGTTTCCCTCCGGCACATCGACGATCTCTCGAGACGGGCGTCACAGCCGACGGGCCCCCAATGGACGAGGGGGAACGGCAGGCGGGGAGCGCCTCAGGGGGGGGAAGCTGCAGCCCGGAGTCGGCGATGCATCGCCAACAGCTCGGCAGCGGGCCCTCTACAGCGAACCCGCAAGCTCCTGGACGGGGTGGGCTACCGGGCAATCGTTAAGTCGGGCATGTCCCCCTACTGGGAGGATCTGGGGCGCAAAATAAAACATAGTTCAAACAAAATTCTAAAGATACTCAAAAAATAGTCGAAAAGTCGTCCCCAGTCTATTTTTTGTTGACTCTTTTGGAATATTCCTCCCGAGGAGGGACAGGCCCGACTTAAGGCTATCGGGCCCCCATCGGCGACGAAGGGGCGATTGGGGGGCGGTGCATCCCGCCCCGTGCCCATCGCCCCCCGGCGTTGCCCCTGGATCGACGACCCCTCGAGGGGGGCGTCGAAGTCGATGGCCCCCAGGGAGGGTCGGGGCGGCAGCTCCCTCACCTCGAGACGAAGGCCAAGGTGAGGGACAACTCCGACCGGTCGGGAACCTCTGAGGCCCAGCGGGTACGGAGGATGTGTGGCGGCGCGCGCGGAGGGGGCGGCAGGGGGAGGGGGGAAGGCTTCTTGGAAGGGGGCTGCTTCTTGGAAGGCGCCGGCCCTGCATCGACAGACAAGGCCCGCGCCCTCTAAGAAGCAGGGGCGCCTCTAAGAAGCCGTGCCTTCCAAGAAGCAGCCCCCTTCCAAGAAGCCTTCCCCCCTCCACCTGCCCCCCTCTGCGCGTGGCCGAGATGCGTCGGGCGCCACGGAGGCTCTGAAGCGCTCCAGAGCGCTCTGGCGCGGCTTCTGCACATCCCAGGCCTGCCTGACGACCTCGGGCGTCGAAGTCGATGGGTCCCCCAAGGAGGTAAGGACCGCAGCTCCCCCAGCTGCGGCCGATCTGGCTCGCGTCAGGGGGGTGCAGGGGTGCGGTCGGGGATCTACTGACCTGGGCCAAACCAGACCCGGGTCGGTCAGGCCCTGCAGGATCCTGCAGGATCCTGCGCCCAAGCCTGAGTCAGTGCACCCCTGGCTCTGCAGGATCCTGCTCCGTCCGGCGCTTTGACTGACCCGATGCGGGGCGGACGCTGTCTGCCCGGCTCCCCCGATAGATCTCCGCGAGGACGGCCAGCACTGGCCCCGTCCTCTGGTCCAGCAGCCCCTGGTGCTGGGCGAGGACGAGGTCCACGACCTTCTCGTGGACCTCTCCGAGCGGGAGGGAGGGGGCATACGTCAGGTTCGTGTCGTGCCGACTTCGGCGTTGGTTCCTGACACCGCGGGGCTCGTTCAACCTTGAACCATCGGCCGTTTCCGAAACGTCCAAATCGTTCCACAGCGAACGATTCTGGGTCGCCCGCGGCGTTCAACGTCGAACGCCGCTGGCGGGGTCGCCGCCGGCTAACACGACACGAGCCTACCGTAGCAAAGAGGAGAGGTTCAGCGAGTCAGCTGTGCGCAGCCAGCTGCTCTGGCGCCTCCCAGCGCCAGGGGCGCCCGTGTCGAGGTGAGCGCCGCTGGCGTTGGGGGGGCCTCCAGCTGCATGCAGACGTCGTACCCCGCCCTTCCCAATGCGCCAGAGGCGCCGTGTATCGAGGTGAGCGCCACCAGCTGCATGCAGATGTCGTGCCCCGCCCTTCCCAATCCGACTGCCTACCAGACCACCCCAACGCAACGCAACCCGAAGACCCGAACTTGACTCGAGTTTCGGGTTTTGGGGGGTGTACGGTGCCCCTCCACTGGAAATGAAGGGCACATTGAGGCCTTCGGGTTGGGTTCGGGTGGTCTTGGTGGGTGGTGACAATCCTAGGGAATCGAGCTCTATACACCGACGCTTCACTTCTGGCCCTGCGTTGGAATTTGCACCGGAGAGCGGATCCTGGTGTATACGGGACCCTTGTGTATACATTTTTCGTTGTTTTCCCAAGACATCGGGGAAAAAAGCATACACCACACCACCCCAGCGTCGCCCTCGACCCTCAAGAAGTCCTGGCATTGAAAAACAGCCCGCCACTGGTAATGTATATGTTCCAATTTCCGAAATCCCCCCCTTCCGTCAAACCCGAACCAAGCGGGGGGGTAGGGGGCGGGCGGCTGGGCAGGCCGAGCGAAACGGGCACCGCGAGAGCAAGATCGTTCCGCGAAGCTGCGTGCCCGAACGTATTTGTGTTGCGTCTGCGGCTAAAAACAATCCGTATAGCAAGGACGCGCGATAAGTCGGAAACTGGAGCATATACATTACCAGTGGCGGGCTGTTTTTAAATCCCCGGATTTTTTCAGGGTCGGGGACGACATCGGATCCCGTATACACCAGGATCCCCTTTCCTGTGCGAGTTTCAGTGCGGGGCCGGAAAAAGCGTCGGTGCATAGAGTTCGGCTCCGTAATCAGGATGCAGGGGCCTTAGACGCCCATTTCGAAGCTTTTCGGGCGGGGCGCGGCCCACGAAAGCGGCGCGGGATGGGCCGAGAAGGCAAGGATGCAACGGGTGCCCTCGGGAAGGTTGCCCATCCTCTCTCTGCGGGTTGACTGCAGGCAGGGGTCGCCTGCGCTGGCGGATGGATCTAACCGAACGGGGGTGCCGTTGCAGCGAAGTGGCAAGCACGCAAGAAGAGGGAAAACCGGGACAGGGCGGGCGGCCGCAGGGGGGAGGCAAGCACATGGAAGGTGAACTTTGCGGAGGTCCGAGCGGACGGTTTGAATCGGCGTTGGACGCCGCTCCCTGTCGCGCGGGGCGCCCCCGCGCCACCGGGGGGGCCGAGCGCCGATCCACGAGATCCGCGCGGAACTCCGAAAGTTCATATTTCTACGGCGGCGACGGCGGCGACAACCACGACGGTGTGTAAGAGAGTAGTGATGTGAGCGCCGATCAAAAACGGGTCTCACGCGAGATGGCACGACCTTGCGCGGTGGCTTACGCGGGCCGCCTGCGCGGCACGCCACGCTGGAGGCGAGGGCGCTTACGCGCGAGCTTGCGCGGGCAGCTTACGCGCCACAGCGTCGGCGCAAACGACCCCGCGTTTTCTGCGTCGCTCATGTCATGATCGTCCACAGCTGGGAGGGGGAGGGGGAGGAGGAGGAGGAGGAGGAGGAGGAGGAGGAGGAGGAGGAGGAGGAGGAGGAGGAGGAGGAGGAGGAGGAGGAGGAGGAGGAGAAGGGAGGAGGGGGGAGGGAGGAGGAGGGAGGAGGAAGAAGAGCAGGAGGCGGAGGACGAGGAGGAGGACGAGAAAACGCAGAAATCTGCAAAGTCCGGCGGCCCTCGCTTCCGGAGCCCGTGCGGAGCCAGGCCACGCCTCTGGAGCATGGGAGGCCCTGGAGAGCAGCTCTGCGCATCACGAATAGGGAGCCTAGAAAGGACGTACGCGCCAAGCTATGTACATGAACACGGCCCCTCGGTCCGCGAGACGGGCCGCGTTACACGAACATTTGCGCAGTGCGTGCCCTCGAAACCAGCGTGGATTCATGTACATGTACGTCCTTCTGTCGCTCCTGAACGAAGGAAGGAGGAGGAGCTCCCCGGGGGACAAGAATCAGTGGAAGTCCTGGGGTCTCAGGGTTAACCTTCGTGTGGAAGGTGTCTTGTGGACTGGCCTCCACTGTAGACGTAAAATCAAGGGGGAGGGGAGAGCCACCCCGACCCCCATCGTTGGCGTTCACTGAACGCCCCTTGGCGTTCACTAACCAGCCCTGCCCCATTCGATTCCTGCCCTGGGTGCGTTTGCGAGGCGGCTTCGCTCGTCCAGGTGCTTGTTACGAGGGCGGAACTTTTCCTCTCCATAAAAACTCTCGGAAGGAAGGAGGGAAGGAGGAGGAGGAGGAGGAGGAGAAGGAGGAAGCGGAGGAGGAGGAGGAGAGGGGGGAGGCGGCGGAGGAGGAGGAGGCAAAGGAGGAGGAGGAGGAGGAGATCCCCGGGGGCCTTCACGGCCTCGTCCTCGTCTTCTCTCAGGGGAAGCTTGTCGACTATCAGCCTCCAGGCCTGCACCTCGGGGGGACACGCGGCGGCCTTCTCCACGGCGAGCGTCAGCAGCGCAGCCACCGCGTTGTCGTGCACCATCTTCAGCTTTGTGTCCTTTTCCTCCTCCTCCTCCTCCCCCTCCTCCTCCTCCTCCTCCTCCTCCTCCTCTCCTCCCTCCTCCTCCCTCCAACCCTCCCAGCATGTCTCCTCTCCCTCCTCCCTTCCCCCGACCTCGTCCTCGTCCTCTCCTCCTCCTCCTCCTCTCCTCATCCTCATCCTCATCCTCATCATCATCAGCATCAGCAGCATCATCATCATCATCATCATCACCACCACCATCATCATCATCATCAGCATCATCATCAGCATCATCATCATCATCAGCATCAGCAGCATCATCATCATCACCATCATCATCATCAGCATCATCAGCATCATCAGCATCAGCATCAGCAGCATCGTCATCATCAGCATCATCATCAGCATCACCCCTCTTCCTGGCCATCAGACTCTTCATCCTCCTACTCCTCATCCCCCCCTCGATGTCCTCCTCCTGCTCCTGTTGCGACTCCTCCTCTCTCTGTTCCGTCTCCTCCCATCCTCCTCCCCCTCGTTCCCGTATCCCTCCTCCTCCTCCTCCTCCTCCTCCTCTTCCTCCTCCTGCTCTCCCCTGCTCCTCCTCCTCCTCCTCCCCTCCTCCTCCTCCTCCTCCTTCTTCCTCCTCCCTCCTCCTCCTCCTCCTCCTCCTCCTCCCCCGTCCTCCTCCTCCTCATCATCATCACCATCGTCGTCATGATCAACAGCATCAGCATCGAAAGCAGCATCAGCATCAGCATCAGCAGCATCAGCATCAGCATCAGCATCAGCATCATCACCACCATCATCATCAGCAGCATCGTCAGCAGCAGCATCATCATTCTCAAAATCGTCATCACCACCAACAACATCATCATAATGATCAGCATCAGCATCGCAATCATCGCCATCACCGCCACCATCACCAGCAGCATCACCATCATCATGTTCAGCATCCTCATCATCATCGCCGCCACCCACATCGTCAGCAGCATCATCAGTATCATCAGCATCAGCATCATCATCAGCATCATCAGCAGCAGCATCAGCATCATCAGCATCCGCATCATCATTATCAGCATCAGCCTAATCATCATAGTCATCATCAATTCGTCATCGTCGTTATCGGAATCAGCATCAGCATCATCGATCATCAGCATCGTCATCGTCATCGTCATCGTCATCATCACCATGATCATCATCATCGCCATCAGCATCATCATCATCATCGACATCAGCATCAGGACCTCATCCTCATCGGCATCATCATCGTCATCATCACGGTTCCACCGCCTGCAGCATGATCATCAGCATCATCATCAGCACCATCATAATCAACGGCACCATCATAATCATCAGCATCATCAGCATCACCATCATCATAATCAGCAGCATCATCATCGTCGTCAGCAGCATCAGAATCATCGTCACCATCAACCTCATCCTCATCCTCCTCATCCTCATCGTCATCACCATCACCATCACACTGACCATCAACCTGACCATCATAATTGTCGTCAGCATTATCATGACAATCATCATCATTATCCTCATCAGCATAGTTATCATCGTCATCCTAATGTTCATCATCGTCATCATCATCAACGTACACATCATCAACATCATCACCATCGTCATCACCATCAGCATCAGCATCATCAGCATCATCAGCATCATCAACATCATCAGCATCATCATCGTCATCATCAGCGTCATCATCCGCATCAGCATCATCATCGCCATCATCATACTAATCACCGTCATCGTCAAAATCAACACCCTCATCATCATGATCATCATCACGAGCATCACCATTGTCACCACCATCATTACCCGTTACCAAAACCGTTACCGCGACAATCATCATCTCCGTCATCAGCCGCATCAGGATAAGCATCAGCATCAGCATCATCATCATCGTCATCATCGTAATCATAATCATTTGAATATTCCTCAGCCACCTTCATTATCAACATAACAGCCATCCTCCTTCTCCTCATCCCCATCCTCAATATTCTCCTTATCGACATCCTACTCCTGTTCCGCCTACTCCTCCTCAGCATCATCCTTTTCCTCATTCTCCTCGTACTCCTCCTCTTCTTCCTTTTTGTTCCATCCTCCTCATCATCCTCGTCCACCTCGCTCATCCTCATCCACCTTCGTCCTCATCCTCCTCCTTTTCCTCCTTCTCCTCCTCCTATGAACGTCTTCAGCTTGGCGTCCTTCTTCTTGGGCTTGGCGCCGCCCACGATGGAGGCGAGCCCTCTGAAAGCCTCCGGCGCCGCCTGCGCGAAGCTCGCCAGCGGTGCCGCCAGGTTGATGGCATAGGCGGAGGCTGTCATGGCGTCGTGGTCCTTTCGGGTTGGACGAACGGGGGGAGGTTGGTAAAGGGAGGTCTCAAATCTCCGACGACCTGATTATGTTCAATCCTGGCGTTTTGCATAGACTTCGACCTCTGCTTCCCGTTCTCGGGCCCCGCGGCATCAACAATGGATCTGGGACGGAAACTTAACCACGGGTCCTCAGGAGCCGCGAACTGCGAAAGACACAAATCACCTGGGATGCCATGGCTCGAAACGTCCAGCGCCAGAAAGGTGCACGTGTATCAAGCATCCGGCGGCGAGGCCAAAACGAGCTGCACCCAACAGATGTCGCACAACCCATTTCCCAATCCCAAGGCGAAGCGGACAAAATCGGACAGGGACAGATCGGAGGTCCATGAGATCTGGCTGCTGTGGAGGATTTATCGGAAGCTGGGGCCTTCGAGAGCGCTCCAGATCGCGCTGAGAGCGTTCCAGGATGCTCGGGAACGATTCCTCCTGGTCCTATAGCCCCATCCGAAATTCCCCCCTTCGTCCGACCCGATCCTTGCCCACCCGCAACACTCGAAAGGCCTCGTCCATGAAAACAGGCCATATCTGCACGGAGTGTTCCTTGAGGTGCTGAATGGCGTCGCACGCAAGGTACAAGCCGAGGACCTTGTTGGCAACACGGCGTCAGTAAAGCGTAACGTTCGCTCCAAAACGGTCAAGGACATGCCAGGAAGGAAGAGGGAGAAAAAGAGCAACAGCAGGAGGATGAGCAGAGAGCTGAGGAGCAGCAGCAGAAAAAGGATCATGAACAGCAGCGGCAAGAAGAAGACGAGGATGAAGAGAGAGAGGAGGAGGAGGAGGAGGAGGAGGAGGAGGAGGAGGAGGAGCAGGAGGAGGAGGAGGATAGGGGAGGAGAACCTTGTTATCGTCGCTGGCGACCCACTGGCGTATCTTCTCCGCACACGCGGGCAAGCACGGCATGAACTCAGCAGCGGCTACCTCCATCACCGCGCCCAGGATCTCCTCATAGTTTCGCCTCAGCTGATGCTGTTGCTCGCCCTCCTCCTGCTCCTACAGTACAGCTTGCAGAGCCACTTGGCGCCCACATGGGTCTTTTTTTATCTTCATGGTAGCATTAACTCTCTCCTTGACTTCGCGGCTGACTGCTGTTGCATGTTGCCTCCTACCCCTCTCATAATCCTCATCCTCGAGCGTACCCGAGGCTGACCAATGTCGATCATCTCACTGAGGGCATGGCGACCTGATGCCGCGCACATCGAACGGCCTCCCTTTGGCGGCCTCATCATCCTCGTCCTCCTTCTGCTCCTGTTTCCTGTTTCCTGACAGCTTCAGTGTCGTCAGGCGCAGCCCCTTTTCCCCTGGGAGACCTGGCCAGGCCCCCTCTGGGGGAGCAGAACGAAATTCTAGAGGATCGGGGACCAGGGTCCCGCAGACAGAAGGGAGGGAGGGGGAGGGACGATCACCATCGTGCCTCATCATTATCATCATCAGTGCCTCGGGAGAAGCGTGAAGGAGTAGGGCTGAGGCAGCAGGCAGCGCAGACTTCTGCTCCTCCTCCTCCTTCCTCCTCCTCTTTCTCCTCATCCACATCATCATCACCATCGTCGTTCTCCTTCGTCAGCATCGTCATCAGCATCATCATCACCATCAGCATCACCATCATCATGATCGTCGTCGCCAACATTGGCACCATCTTCTCTATGATCAACATCACCATCACTATTGTCAAGCATCGTTATCAACAGTGTCATGATAATCCTCATTGTCGACGGCATCAGAATCAGAACCAACATCATCGTCACCATCATCAGATCGTCGTCGTTCTCATCACAATCGTGACCGTCGTCGTCAACACCACCACCATCAACATCAGCATCAGCATCAGCATCAGCATCATCCGCATCTGCCCCATCATCAGCATCATCATCACCAGTCGCAGCATCATCGACATCGTCACCGCAGCATCACCATCATCATCATCATCATCATCATCATCATCATCATCATCATCATCAGCATCATCATCATCATCATCAGCATCATCATCATCATCATCACCAAAAGTACCGCCAATATCATCATCATCATCATCACCATTGTGAGCCATCAACATCATCGTTGTCATCATGACCACCATTATCTGTAGATTCATCTTTGTCGTCGTCGTCATTGGTGCCGTCGCCGTCGCCGTCGTCATCAGCAGCAGCACAAGCCTCATCATCATCATCATCATCATCATCATCATCATCATCATCATCATCATCAGAATCATCATAATCAGTATCAGCATCGTCATCATCAGCAACACCATCATCATCATCATCATCATCATCATCATCATCATCATCATCATTACCACTATCATCATCATCGTCGCCATCATCATCAGCATCATCATCAGCATCACCACCACCATCATCATACGCATTCATATCATCATCACCAGCATCACCATCCAGCATCGCCAAAAGCATCAGCGTCAGCATCATCAGTATCACCTTCACCATCGGCATCGTCATCTTCATCGCAATCGTCATGACCGTCACCATCATCATCACCGTCTTCATCATCATCGGCAGAATCCGTATCATCACCAACCCCGTCAACAAAATATAAGCAGCAGCATCATCACCATCATCATCGCCGTCATCATTGTCATCATCATCAACATCACCATCACCATCACCATCACCATCACCGTCACCACCACCACCATCACAATCATCATCACCATCATCATCAGCATCATCACCATCACAATCACCATCATCATCATCATCATCAACATCAACATCAACACCATCATCATCATCCTCATCCTCATCCTCATCCTCATCCTCATCCTCATCATCATCATCATCATCATCATCATCATCATCATCATCATCATCATCATCATCATCATCATCGACGAGGTAAGGGTAGCGGTATCGGTACCTCCTCTGAGGCCCAGCTATCGCAGCTGCCGCGCCGCACGGGCCGCACGACAGGCTGCACGTCCAACCCGAAGTACAGCGCAGCTGGTGCGCACCCAACGAGGGCACAGCGCGGAGCACCAGCGTGCCGAGCTGTCCCTGCCGAACAGGCTTGACCACGCGCCGTACCCCAGCGCTCTGCCACCTCCATCAGTCCAGCACGACGCGCCGCACATCATCATCACCGAAGCCCTGCTGAAACAGCGACCGGCTCGGCGCCAGCCACGCCGCCACCTCGCCCGCTCTCCTGGCGCAGCCCGCGGAACGCCACCGCCCTCCCGGCGCGGCCCTATGCTCACAAACGATCTTCTTGCCGGTGATGCACAACGCACACTGCGCCCCCGGCCCCTCAACCACTGCCAGCCCTGCTCATCCTCGCGGACGCGGAAATCTGCACCCTCACGGACGCGCTCTAAAGCAGGCTCAGCTGGGGAAGCGACCACACCAGCCCACTGCTTACGAGCAAACCCCACGGTAATTATGCCACAACCAGGGCCGAGCAACGTGTTTAGAAGAAGAAGAACGAACGTAAACATGAAACCTCTTGGGGTCCGCGCGGATCTTCTGGACTTCCAAGGGGGGGCCAGTGTCGACCCAAGAACTCCGCGCGACCTCTGCAAATGTATGTTGAGGTTCTTTGTGAATCGAAGTACCGGACAACTTTTTTATATGACTCAAGTTTGGCAAGCTACTCGAATGATGAAGATATGTTGCCTGAGACCGCCGCGAAGCCAAGCATCGAGAGGGACGCGCAGGCAGAAGAGCACGCCATTGGCACTTCTTCGACAAAACGTAAGCCTGAATACACACACATAAACGAACATGCGTAGACAGCATGTCATAAACACACACACAAACACGCACCATGAGCAAATAGGGCTACAGGGCGATGCCTGCAATGTGCTCCTCGTTTGGGACCGTGAAATTTGATATATTTGGAGCCCATAGATTGAACTTGATAGATTTGGAGCCCACTGCCCGCCAAGGAGCCAGGAAACAGGAGCCCACTGATAGCGTGGAAACCATTGCTCGCTTGAACAAAGGGACAACAAACAGCATGAAGACCAACTTTCGGAGTCTTGGATCGGCGCGGGCGCGCGGAGCGCGCCAGGGGCGGCGCCGCTAGGGTCCCAAACGCAAATCCAGGAAACCCGCGCGGAGCTCCGAAAGCCTGCGCTTTTGTGCCGACCTTTGCCCTCCGATTGGAACGCGAGCCCTGCTCGCCTTGCCTTGGCAAACTTTAGCAAGGGTCAAAGAGGCATCGGCACCGAGGCTGCAATCCGGCCAATCCACCCTCAGGGCACCACGTCTCTCGCGCGGGCGCAGCGATCGGGCCCACCACCCGGGCGCGAGTCCTTAGTCAAGGCACGCACACCCTCGCGAACTCATCATCGTCATCACCGACATCGTCATCATCATCGTCATCGACATCACCATATTCTCATTCATCCTATTCGTCACTACTACAATGACCTTCATCGTCGTCATCGCTACCACCATCGTCAACAGATCATTCAACCACTTTCTCTCGATATCGGTCTCCGCCGACTTTTCCCCCCTGCACGGTGGCCAGCCGAGAGGGCGGATGGGCCCAGGCAAGGGAGCGGAGCGGGAGGAAGGGGCCAGGCCTGGCCGAGAGTGCAAGCAGCACGTGTGTTTCGCTTCCTCCGCGCTCCTTCTGCCCCTCCTCCTCCTTCGGATGTCCCTCGCAGGACGGCGGGTTCGGGATGGCTGCGCGCCCAGCGGAACGAGAGAAGGTCAGCGGAGTAAGGGGGGGGGGGCAGGAGGGAAGAGGAGATCGAAGGAGGAGGGGGAGGAAGTGGGTGGACATGGCGTGGGAAGAGGGAGCGAGGGCGGGATCCACGCACGCACCTTCGTTACCCCGAGAGCGCGAGGCATGGCCAGAGCACCAGCTGGAGAAGGGGGAGGTGGCGAGGAGGAGGAGGAGGTCGCTTCAAAAACTGTGGCTCTCGCCTTGGGACCGCGCACACTCGTGTTAAGAAACTACAAGGGCTTCACGGACTGAGGGCGGGCCGTTTTCAAAAGTGTGGCTCTCGCCTTCGCGCCGCGCACACTCGTCTTAAGCATTTGCATGAGTTTCACGGATTGATGGCGTTTCCTTTCACAACGTGGCGCTCGCATCACTGCCGCGCACATTCGCTTTAAACGTGTGCAAGACGTTTACGGATTCCCATGGTCAACGTACCAGACGTTTGGGTTTGGGGATGATGCAGGACTGTCAGGGCGCAACAGTTACGTTCTTTCGCGGTGTTGAGGCTCCAGGAATGGCTTTCTGGTGCGATTCAAGATCGTCAAGACGCAAAATCGGGTAGATTCGTGGCGTTGGAGTCCCGTGAATGGTGCTATGGCACGCATCAAGATTTCAAACGGTTGTCTCCCAACGAGGCACTTCCCTCATTTGGAGTGAACTCTTTCTAGGGGCCTATGTCTATGAAGTGGTAGCTTGGAGGGAGGGGTGATTCCATCATCGTTGATGAGTCCTGGGTCTACACTAGTCCTCCTCCTCTTCCTTCTTCTTCTCCTTCTCCTTCTCCGTCTCCTCCCCCCTTCTCAAGGTCTCGCCTCAGTTGCTCCTCTTCGGCGTCGGGATCTGGCTCGTCCTCGTCCTCCTCGTCGCCGAGCTCCTTGGGCAGATTGGCTTCCGCCGCCTTGGCGCCCGCTTTGGTCTTCTGGTACTCCGCGGTGCGCGAGAATGACGAGTCGATGAGCACGAATACCCTCTCCACCAACGTCTTGACCTCGTCCCCCGTGAGCACGCCTGGGCCAGAGCATTTTACGCACTCCGTGATGCCGCAGGCGGTCGACGTCAGCATCTCGCAGTCCTGTTGATTCTGCTCCAGCACCTGCCCCAGGCATACGCATCAGTGGGAGGAGGGAGGCGAGGCGAGGCGAGCGCGCGATGTCGGTCCAGCGGGACCGGCCCTATGAGGGCAGCGCGGGGGGGCCGGGGCCCCTCTCAGCGCCCCACAAACGGGGACTCCACTAACGGGTACTTTGGCCAGTGACCCAGCGAACCCAACCCTTCCCGATGCGGGCAACGCTGCATTGCCAGAAAGAGGCCCTAAAGTGGCAACTTTCGGCAAAATTGCAAAGTACCCGTTAGTAAGTATTCGTTACGGTGCCGTTGACCCTCAGAAGACGAGTCGGAGCCGGAGTCGGAGAGATGGACGCTGGAGGTCGGAGAGATGGACGCTGGACGTCGGAGTGGGAGGAGGAGGAGGAGGAGGAGGAGGAGGAGGAGGAGGAGGAGGAGGGGAAGGGGGAGAGAAGGTGCGAGAAGACTGCGCCGTCGACCCTCAGAGGTCCGTGCGGACTCTTGGAGCGGCGCTGTCCAGCGCAGTCCACTCCTCGCAGATTCTCGAAAGCACATGTTTGAAGGGGCCCTGAGACACACAAATAAATACACACTAATAAAAAGGTTCCCCATATTTTCCAATATTTTCTGGGTTTTTGTCCTCCCCCCAATTCCCATATTTTCCGATATTTTCTTGGGATTCGACGATTGATTGTGTCCGTGTGTTTTTTCCCCTCCTGAACGCTTACGATCTACATAGGCGCGCCAAATAGGAATTCCTCGCGCAATGCCAGGAGAACTCGTCCAGCGATCCTCCCCCCCCTCCAGTCTGCCCCTGCATGGCCAGAGTCCGCCACCGTGCACACGGCACGTCGCGGCGTGCTCCCAGGCTCACAGAGCCCTGAAAAAGGAGGAGCTGCAGAAATTGAAAATCGGGCCGGGCGAAATCAGCTGCATGCAGCAGATCGCGTACCCCCCCCCTTTCCCTATCCTCCCTTTTCGCTCGGCCCGATTTACGGGCCCGGACTACCGGTTAAATGAAGAGATGGGAGTCTGGCGCACTGCCCAGACTTGCCGAGGACTGCCGGGGATCCCCTGGGGCAGCGGAGCCGGCCGAAGAGGGCCCCCAGGATGTCCAAGAAGGCCCCGGATCGCCGCAGGATCGGTCCGAGACGCCCACAACTGGACGAGCGCGTTCCACGACTCGCAAAGTAACTGCTCACAGATGGCCTGGACCCCCCGCGGGGGATCTGCGATAAGTGATCTCAAAACAGGCATTTGCTTCGCGGCCGTTTGCGAGCAGGCACACTGCGAGTAAAAGGAGCGCGCTCGGTGAGAAATGGCTTTAGTCGGCCGGAAAAGCGCCCAAGACGTCCCGAGAGGCATCCAAAAGCCGTGCCAAGAAGGCTCCGAGAGGCCAAAGCAGCATCGTTGTTCCTGCGGCGTGCTCAATGCTTTCGGAGCCCTCGACGTTTCGAGCTTCCGACGCTCCATGACGGCCGAAGAGGCCCCAAAGACTTTCCCAAGACGGCCCAAGAGACTCCCAAGACGGCCCCCAGACGGCGCAGGAGGGCTTCAAGACGGCCCCAGAAGCGCCCAGGATGGCCCCCAAGAAGGGCCCAAGAACAAACGGAAAATCCAAGTCCTCCGCCCGAAGAGGCCCAAGGATGCGCCAAGAGGCCCCCACGAGGGCCGAAGAGACGCCTACGAGGCCATTTGTGCACAAGGCCCCAAAACGGTTCCCAGAAGGCCGCCCAACGGCGCCCAAGAGGGCCCCGAGAGCCCCCCCGCGACATCCCAACGAACATCCTAAGAAGCCGATGGTCCACAACCCAGGCGCGGTGGCGTGATTGGCAGAAGGCCATGAGATATTGCAACGGCTTCCCCTGCTATTGCAATGATTCCCCTGCTATTGCAATGGTTTCCTCTGCTATTGCAATGGCTTCCCGTAGTTCTTTCAATGGTGCCCAAACAATCGTCCAACATTCGCCAAAACTACCCGAATGTCTTCCTATGTATCCGAATGGTTCCCTCTGTATCCGCATGGCCTTCTCTGCTATTCGCATGGCTTCCTGTGGCAAGTATAATACGAATGGCGTCCCAGTAATGGCCCAACAGTCGCCAAACTCAGAAGTGGAGTGGAGTAGAGTAGAGAAGAGAGTAGTAGAGTAGAACAGAGTACAAAGAGCAGATGAGAAAATGGGTAGAGTAAAACATAATAGCGTAGAGTGGAGCAGGAAAGTTTCGAGTAGAGGAGAACAGAGTAGGAGAGAGTAGCATTTGACTAGAACAGGAACTCGACGGCCCAACGGGCCAAGGGCGAGCTAAGATCTTTGGTGACTAGTTAAGAATATTCTAGTCCGCGCGCGCGGGGCCGCCCCTGGGGGCCCCCGGACGAGAAGCACTCTGGCGAGGCTGTGCGACGGACCCCTGCGGCCCAAACGGCCACTTAAACAGCATTTGAAAACCCACAGCGGCAACCCTGGAGACAGGAGAGAGCAGGGGGAAGGAGGGGAACGCCAAAGGAGAGTGATAAGCCACCGAATGCTCGTCGGAGCATCTCGCGCGTGCGAAGACCAGACGCTCTGGGCAGTGCCAGAACCGGCGCGCGCACAGGGGTTCCTCGCGAGTCTAGTGCAAACTGGGGCCGCAGGCTGAAGTAGGCCCCGAATTAGCCTGATTGGAAGGGACATGCCGCTTCGCCAGAGGAGCGGGCTTCTAGTGCCACGGTTGCCGATGCGACGCAAGGCGCAGGAGGAGGAGGAGGAGGAGGAAGTAGAGAAGAAAGCAGGAGGACGAGAGCGAACGGCAAGATCAATTACCCTGTGACGTACCCAACCCTTTCTATACATGTGGCGATTATACTCAGGACCACTCAATGCTGACTGGCATTCTGAAGGACCCGCAGTGCGCAAGAAGAGCCCCCAACAGTGACTTCAGAAGAGCGCAGCAAGAAGAGAAATGGCAACTATACAAAATGGAAACACAGTGGCGTTGAAAGAAACGCGCATGACGTACCTCAGAATGATCCACGTGGGACGTACCTCCGCTGGGCCTCCCAGGAGCCCACGAAAAGGGCGACAATTGCGCAGATCGCAAGCCCCACAGGGGGCGGCGAGGTCCCGAGGTGATCCGCGTGGCACGTACCTCCACTGGGCCTCCCAGGAGCCCACGAAAGTGGCGACAGTTGCGCAGATCGCAAGCCCCCCAGGGGGCGGCGAGGTCTCGAGGTGATCCGCGTGGGACCCACCTCCGCTGGGCCTCCCAGGAGCCCACGAAAGCGGCAACAGTTGCGCAGATCGTAAGCCCCCCAGGGCACCGCGAGGTCCCGAGGTGATCCGCGTGGGACCCACCTCCGCTGGGCCTCCCAGGAGCCCACGAAAGTTGGCGACAGCTGCGCAGATCGTAAGCCCCCCAGGGGGCGGCGAGGTCCCGAGGTGATCCGCGTGGGGCGCACCTCCGCTGGGCCTCCCAATAGCCCACGAAAGCAACAACAGTTGCGCAGATCGTAAGCCCCCCAGGGCACCGCGAGGTCCCGAGGTGATCCGCGTGGGACCCACCTCCGCTGGGCCTCCCAGGAGCCCACGAAAGTGGCGACAGCTGCGCAAATCGCAAGCCCCCCAGGGGGCGGCGAAGTCCCGAGGTGATCCGCGTTAGACCCACCTCCGCTGGGCCTCCCAGGAGCCCACGAAAAGGGCGACAATTGCGCAGATCGCAGCCCCCAGGGCACCGCGAGGTCCCGAGGTGATCCGCGTGGGACCCACCTCCGCTGGGCCTCCCAGGAGCCCACGAAAGTGGCGACAGCTGCGCAAATCGCAAGCCCCCAGGGCACCGCGAGGTCCCGAGGTGATCCGCGTGGGACCCACCCCGCTGGGCCTCCCAGGAGCCCACGAAAGTGGCGACAGCTGCGCAGATCGCAAGCCCCCAGGGCACCGCGAGGTCCCGAGGTGATCCGCGTGGGACCCACCTCCGCTGGGCCTCCCAGGAGCCCACGAAAGTGGCGACAATTGCGCAGATCGCAGCCCCCAGGGCACCGCGAGGTCCCGAGGTGATCCGCGTGGGACCCACCTCCGCTGGGCCTCCCAGGAGCCCACGAAAAGGGCGACAGCTGCGCAAATCGCAAGCCCCCAGGGCACCGCGAGGTCCCGAGGTGATCCGCGTGGGACGCAACTCTGCTGGGCCTCCCAGGAGCCCACGAAAGTGGCGACAATTGCGCAGATCGCAACCCCCAGGACACCGCGAGGTCCCGAGGTGATCCGCCTGGGACCCACCTCCGCTGGGCCTCCCAAGAGCCCACGAAAGTGGCGACAGTTGCGCAGATCGCAGCCCGACGGCACGAGAGAAGAGGAGAAGGGAACACAGGAGACAGGAGAGGAGGAGGGGAGGAGGGGGAGGAGAAGAAGGAGGCCGGGGCGACCACACTGCTCTAGTCAAAACGAGTACTCCAAATTTCGTAATGGGAGGGGGGTCTCATTTCGGGGGGGGTCTCTTCCAAGCTATCTTGGAGGGCCTGGGGGGGTCTGGGGACGATGTTTTGGAGGGTTCTCCCACGGGGGGGTTCTGAAATGGCTTGTCTTGGAGGGTCCAGACCCCCTCCCTTTTATTACGAAATCTGGAGTACCCAACCATAGGAGGGTTGGGAAATGAGGTTCTGAAGCCGCGCGAGGGGGGCGCAGGGCAGGGGAAGCTCCGAGAGCAAACCGTCCCTGCCTGCCCCTGGGCGGCGGACGCCGCCCCCGAGATCGGGGGACAGCGCACGGATAAAAAAACGAACAGAAACATGCAGAGCAACGTTTTGACCGAAACGTTGCGACCGAAACGGGAAGAACGCCTACTCCTAGACACTGGCCGTTCCCAGACGGCGCCGGCGCGAAACCTGACGTTACGGGCCCCCCGCCTCCCTCCCCCCCGCAGGAAACCCTCCCCCCCAAGCGCCCACCAGCCAACAGCACCCCCCCCTCCTCCCGCCTCGCTGTCGCCCGGGAATGCAAAAATGCTCCAAGGCACTGAAAGGGAGGGACGGGGAGGCGAAGCGAGGAGGGACCATGCTCGGCGGCGAGGGCATGGCTCTCTTGCCGATGCGTCTTCCGCTGGGGGGCGACTGTGCTCGCCTGGCCAGTCGCGTACAATGCCACACCGCGGCCGGGGGCGTGACCGCACGCGGTTGGGCTCGCGTCTACACGGTCGACCTCTCCGAAAAGGCAGCGCACCGCAGGACGCGGCGCATGGCCGCGCAACGCCACAAGACGCGGCGCGAATCACGCCGGCACGCCCCTCGGGGGCACCGCCGAGCTGTGATGGGCCTACCTGGACGAAGTGGCCCAGTCCATGGGGCGCACCGTGGGAAAAAAAACGCACTGTGGGAAAAAAAAAAAAAAACAGCCTGTGGGAAAAAGCACACAGTGTGGGAAAAACACGGTGGGAAAAACACACACTGTGGGAAAAAACGCGCACTGTGGGAAAAAACGCACTGCGTGTGTGTTTTTCCCAGTGACCCAGTCCATGGGGCGCACCTGGTAACTGCGCACACCCGGTGCGGCGCGCGAGTCACGGCTGTGCGCCTCGTGGAGCATGTTCCCGAAAGAATGCGGCCTCTAGCAAAGGAAGCTTACATTTCGTCCTCCTTCTCCTCCTCCTCCTCCTCCTCCTCCTCCTCCTCCCCCTCCTCCTCATCCTCCTCCTCCTCCTCCTCCTCCTGCTCCTCCTCCTCCTCCTCCTCCTCCTCCTCCTCCAGGAGCAACCCGACTCCGAATTGAGCCGTGTGGGGTGCATCTCGGGGCCATCCCGGGCTCTCCGACTGGAGCAGAGGTCTACATGCACATCAGAATCGCAACGCAACGTGGCGAAAGAAATAATGCACACGACCAAGCGACCTCCGAAGATCATGAACACGACCGCTGTGGCGGAACCGCTGCGAAGGGTTCCAGGCTCCACCGCGTCGGGCATCCACGAAACACTCGCTTGACAAGTGCATCCAAAAATCTAAACATCTCACGCCTGCGTCATAATGCACAACTTCCGCGCCCCAGGGAACTACTGTCTATTATCTACACAGCGCAGGGCGCGGAAAGCTTGATTCCTCTGGCCACTGCCGCGGTGCGACAGCTTCCGCGGGAGGGGGGGCCCCGGTGCACCGAGAGAAGAGGAAGGGAGACGAGGAGGAAGAGGAAGAGGAGGGAGGGAGGAGGGAAGGAGGAGGGAGGGAGGAGGGAGGAAGGTGGGATGTGCTTGAAAGCGCCCGCGTTTCGCATGCATCACTAAATGCCGTCGGAGACTGCCAGCTGGCAGTCACGCCTGGTCTTCCTATTCACCGTGCTCTCAAAGAGATTCATGACGACACCCGCGTCGCCGTTGTAGGTGAATGTTTTGGATTCGAAGCATTGCATGAACCCGTCCACCGTGTTCGCCTGCTGGACATAAGCCTTTTTGCAGAGCTTCTTCACTGAGACATGAATTTCCTCGTTGCAGATAATACCAAAGCTCAGCGCTAGGCAAAACTCGAGGTAGCACCACCCTCGATCTATGTATGCCCTCTCTGAAAGCCCTTCCATGGGAAGCACGACGACAGGCACGCTGCTGGTGGAGAACATCATCGACATGGAACCAAGAGCTTTATTGAATATTGCATCTTCTTCCGCTGAACGCACGGCCCGATGCGTACCAGGCGCAGGCCACGAGCTTTCCTCCTCCAACCGCTGTAACTCGGCATCTGCGCCGTCGTGCTGGGGCATGCTCAAATAATCCATGAAAACGCCGTCTTCGTCGGCGGCGCCCATGGCGTCGAGCTGGTCGACGAGGCATCGCAGCGTACTGCCATCGGGATCAGGATGATGCTTCGACAACCATGGGTACGACACTACGAAACGGCTCTTCTTATGGGTCCGGAGTATTGGGAACCCAGCGCTCCCGATGATCACTTCGTTCAGTGGGACGTTTTGGCACCGAACCACGATGGACCCAGCAGAGGAGAGTCGACGCAGGTAGCCGCACTTGATCCATTTGATCTGCGCCTCGTCTAGATAATCAAGGAACTGGAGGTAGAAATCCTGCAGCTGGTCGTCGCTGAAAGCGTTGATCGCGGCGAATGCTGTTTGCGACAGGACCTGTAGCCGAGCTGGTCCGACCAGCCCAGAAAACATGACGACACCAAAACAATCCATCATGGCATCCACGAACGCAGCGGCGCTTGAATCTGAACGGGGCGTATCCGGCTCCGACTCGAAATAGAACACTACGCACACCATCGTGCTGGTAAATGACCCGACTAAAGCCACAACCGTCAGCGCCACATAAGCACCAGCATGCCTCTGCGACCTGCTGGTGGATCGTATCGCGAACGCTGCGCTTGCCGCCATGGCGCGCAGCCCGACAAGATTCACGATCACGAGAAGGACGTGCCCGGTCATCTCCATGGACCTCCCGAACATATTGCTCTCGAAGTGGCTGGGCATGAAGTGATACACATTAGCAATAGACCAGGAAGATGCAACCCCGAATAAGCACCATTTCATTATATGGACTGCCCATGCGTGGCCCAGCTGTTGTACCTTACCCATGAATAAGATATACAGCATCACCTTACCGAAGGTCCACATCGTGCCTCTCACCATGCCACTAATGGCCCCTGCAGGAGTCTCTGGTAGGCATGTGTACAGCGGAATCGAGTAGATACCCAATACCGCGGTAGAACCCGCCAATATTCCATATCGCCACGACCAGAGATGCAGCATGGCGTTGCTGAAAATATGTCGCTGGTGAACGCACCATGCAAAGACCGCGACGTTGGGTGAGAGGCCGCAAGCCCACCACACATTTGAAATCCACACGGAGCGCAACTCATCATTGCTCCCGCATTGGTAGCTCGCGATAAGGGTGACGACGAACGAAGTGGTCAAAAAAGAAACGACGACGACACTAGAGAGCATCGCGAAACTTGGGCAGGCACTTGCGCGATAAGAAATACGTCCGTTGGCGACAACACGAGTCAGCGCGAGGAGGTCACGCGCGCCCTTGAGCCAAAAAGTTATGGGGGTCATTTCCCACATACTTTATTTAGTATGGAGGAAAGAATCCCAAAAACTGGCCCCAGAAGGCCCCAGAAGGCCCCAAAGGCTTCCAAGATGGCCGAAAAGGCTCCCAAGACGGCTCCAAGGGCGGATCCAGACAAGGGACCCGAACGGACATGCCGAGCTCTAGGCGCAGAGAGGCCCCCTGGAGGCCCCAAGAGGCCCCCAAGAAGCCCCAAAGAGGCCCTCGAGAGGCCCCAAGAGACCCCGAAAGGCCCCAAGAGACCTCCCCAGAAGGCCCACTGAGGCAGAATCCATAGATTTTCCTATAGTTTTTGAATAAGTTTTTGGCGTTCTCGGCGTGGGAGCTTACCCGCGCTCCAAGACGGCCCTAGAGGCTTCCAGGATCGCCCCAACACGGCCCAAGAGGCCTCCAAGAGCGCCCAAAACTCGTCCCTGAGAGCAAGATAACCGAAGAGGCTCCCAAGACGGCTCCAAGAGCAGATCCAGACAAGGGACCCAAAACCGACATGTCGAGCTCTAGGCGCAGAGAGGTCCCCTGAAGGCCCCAAGAGGCCCCCAAGAAGCCCCCAAGAGGCCCCCGAGAAGCCCTCCAGAGGCCCCCGAGAGTCCCCAAAAGACCCCCTAGAGAGCCAACAGAGGCAGAAGTAGCGATTTCCCCTTTAGGTTTTGCAGGTTGTGGCCCTTCTCGCATTGGGAGCTTACCGGCGCTCCAAGTCGGCCCTAGAGGCTTCCAGGATCGCCTCAACACGGCCAAAGAGGCATGAAATAACCCCAAAACTGGCCCCAGAGGGCCCCAAGACAGCCCCAAATGCTTCCAAGATGGCCGAAAAGGCTCCCAAGACGGCTCCAAGAGCGGGCCCAGACGAGGGACCCGAATGGACATGCCGAGCTCTAGGCGCAGAGAGGCCCCCTGGAGGCCCCAAGAGGCCCCCAAGAAGCCCCCAAGAGGCCCTCGAGAGGCCCCAAGAGACCCCCGAAAGGCCCCAAGAGACCTCCCAAGAAGGCTCACAGAGGCAGAATTCAGCGATTTCACTAGCAGTTTTGAAAAATTGTTGGCGTTCTCGCCTTCGGAGCTTACCGGCGCTCCAAGACGGCCCTAGAGGCTTCCAGGATCCTCCAACACGGCCCAAGAGCAAGAGGCCTCCCAGAGCGCCCAAAACGGCCCCAGAAGGCCCCGAGACAGCCCCAGAGGCTTCCAAGATGGCCGAAGAGGCTCCCAAGACGGCTCCAAGAGCAGGCCCAGACGAGGGACCCGAATGGACATGCCGAGCTCTAGGCGCAGAGAGGCCCTGGAGGCCCCAAGAGACCCCTGAAAGGCCCCAAGAGACCTCCCCAGAAGGCCCACAGAGGCAGAATTCATAGATTTTCCAACAGTTTTTGAATAAATGTTTGGCGTTCTCGGCGTGGGAGCTTACCCGCGCTCCAAGCCGGCCCTAGAGGCTTCCAGGATCGCCCCAACACGGCCCAAGAGGCCTCCAAGAGCGCCCAAAACTCGTCCCTGAGAGCTCCAAGACAGCCCCAAAGGCTTCCAAGATGGCAAGATAACCGAAGAGGCTCCCAAGACGGCTCCAAGAGCGGATCCAGACAGGGGAATCGAAACCGACATGTCGAACTCTAGGCGCAGAGAGGTCCCCTGAAGGCCCCAAGATGCCCCCAAGAAGCCCCCAAGAGGCCCCCGAGAAGCCCCCAAGAGGCCCCCGAGTCCCCAAGAGACTCCCTAGAGAGCCAACAGAGGCAGAAGTAGCGATTTCCCCTTAGGTTTTGCAGGTTGTGGCCCTTCTCGCCTTGGGAGCTTACCGGCGCTCCAAGACGGCCCTAGAGGCTTCCAGGATCGCCTCAACACGGCCAAAGAGGCATGAAATAACCCCAAAACTGGCCCCAGAGGGCCCCAAGACAGCCCCAAATGCTTCCAAGATGGCCGAAAAGGCTCCCAAGACGGCTCCAAGAGCGGGCCCAGACGAGGGACCCGAATGGACATGCCGAGCTCTAGGCGCAGAGAGGCCCCCTGGAGGCCCCAAGAGGCCCCCAAGATGCCCCCAAGAGGCCCTCGAGAGGCCCCAAGAGACCCCCGAAAGGCCCCAAGAGACCTCCCAAGAAGGCTCACAGAGGCAGAATTCAGCGATTTCCCAAGCAGTTCTGAAAAATTGTTGGCGTTCTCGCCTTGGGAGCTTACTGGCGCTCCAAGACGGCCCTAGAGGCTTCCAGGATCCCCCAACACGGCCCAAGAGCAAGAGGCCTCCCAGAGCGCCCAAAACGGCCCCAGAAGGCCCCGAGACAGCCCCAGAGGCTTCCAAAATGGCCGAAGAGGCTCCCAAGACGGCTCCAAGAGCAGGCCCAGACGAGGGACCCGAACGGACCCTCGAAAAAAACCCAAGAAGCCCCCAAGAGAGGCCCCCGAGAGGCCCCAAGAGACCCCCAAGAGGCCCCCAAGAGGCCCCCGTGACGCCCCATGAGGCCCCAGAAATACCGCCAAGAGGCCCCCGAGAGGCCCCCTATGGTCTCACCCCTCTCCTCCTTCTCCCCCTCTGCGTCAACGACCCTCCATCCTCGAAAGACAAGCGCTACAATTCGCCGGCCCAACGGGCCAGAGGCGTGCTGAGAACTCCGGTAACGGGTATGCAATGTTCTAGTTCGCCCGCGTGGGGCGGCCCCCTGGGGGGGCCCACGCACGAAGAGTACCCCGGACGGGTCCCGGCCAGGTGAGGCCCAGAGATGGTTTTCCTCCTCGCCTCGGCCTTCCAGGCTTTCCCCAGCGCCCCTGGAACGCTCCAAGAGAGCCCCGTGACGTGCTCCAGACGGTCCGAGGGGCCCTCGGTCGCCGCCAGACGGCCCAAGAAGCCCCCAGGAGAGCCTCAAGAGGCTTTCCTAGAGAGCCTCAACAAGCAAAAAGTGTCCCATTCCCTTCAGACAACGTACATGTTACGCCTATACGGCGTTTCAAGGTCCAGCGCGTCCAACACTGCCCACGAGACCTTCAAGATCGCCCCAGGACGGCCCAACACACTCCCAACATGGGCCCCACACGGCCCAAGAGGGCCCCAAGACGGCCCACGAGGCCCTCTGGACAGCCCAAGACAGCCCCAAGAGGAGCCCCATCGGAGGAACACGAATCCCACCAACCCTTTAGGGCGTAGGTGCTTCAGGGTGTTTCCTCTTCCACCCCCTTCTTCCCCTTCGAGGGAGGGGTTTACCCCTTCCCCGACCCCCTCCCCTGGACCTGGAGGGGGCGTTTCGCGGGTCGTCGGAGCGTCCACAACGGCCTCGGCGAGGAAGCCAAAATCATTGGTTGTACTAGGGTTTGGTCCCATTTTGGCCTTTTGGGGGGGCAGCTCTCATTGAGGCCCCCCCCCCTTCTTTGATCGACCTCCTCCGAGATGGCCCCGAGAGCGCTCCCAAGGCTCCCAAGGGTGCCCCAAGAGGGCCCCAAGAGGTGGCCAGGAAGCTCCAAGAGGCCCCCAAGAGGCCCCCAGGATGCCCCCAAGAGGCTCCCAAGAGACCCCCAAGAGGCTCCCAGAGGCGAGGCCCCCCAGAAGCACCCAAGACGCTCCAAGAGACCTCGGCGAGAATGCCAAAATCATTGATTTACTACGGTTTTGGCCACATGTTGGCCTCCTGGAGGGGGGGGCACTGCTTCAGATGACTCCAAGGGCGCCTAGGAGAGCCCAAGATGACCTCCAAGATGGCCCAAGATATCCCAAGATTCCTCAAGATGGCTCCCACGATGCTCCAAGAGGCCCCAAGACCGCTCCAAGACGGCTCCAAGTGGCCAAAGAGCTCCCCCAGGAGGCCCCGAAGAGGCCAAAATCCTTCCCAAACCTTAGGGAAAACAATGTTTGTTGGCTTTCTCGCCTTTTCGCTTCCGATGGCCATTCGAGGCATTAAGATGGCTCCAAAATGGCCTAAGCGGGCTCCAAGAGCGCTCCCAAGGCTCCCAAGAGCGCTTCAAGAGGACCCCAGGAGGCGCCCAGGAGGCCGCAGGATGCCCCAACAGGCGCCCAAGAGGACTCCAAGAGGCTCCCGAGAGCCCCCAAGAGGCCCCGAACTCTCCGCGGCACCCAACACGCTCTAAGAGGTGCCCGGGGCCGCCAAGAGGCCCCCAAGACGCTCCAAGAGGCCTCCACTGGGGGACCCTTCCTCTGTGTGCTACCCACTTCCCTGATCGAGGCAATGCCTCTCGGCATCGTTTCTGGATGTGCTGGTGGGGTTATGCGAAGCTAGCTCGCCGACCCGCAAGATCGTCCCAAGACGCCCAAGATGGCCTCCAGACGGCCCAAGACGCCGCCAAGAAGCCCCAAGAGAGCATCAAGAGGCTTTCCTAGAGAGCCTCAATAAGCAAAAAGTGTCCCATTCCCTTGCGAAATCGTACACTTTGCGCCTATACGGCGTTTCGAGGTCCAGCGCGTCCAACACTGCCCACGAGACCTTCAAGATCGCTCCAAGACGGCCCAACACACTCCCAAAATGGGGCCCAACACGGCCCAAGAGGGCCCCAAGACGGCCCACGAGGCCCCCTGGACAGCCCTAGACAGCCCTACTAGGGGCCCCATCGGGGGAACTCGAATTGAACTTGCCAGCTTGCCGACCCGCACGATCGTCCCAAGACGCCCAAGATGGCCTCCAGACGGCCCAAGACGCCGCCAAGAGGCCCCAAGAGTGCCTCATGAGGCTCTTCTAGAGAGCCTCAACAAGCAAAAAGTGTCCCATTCCCTTCAGACAACGTACATGTTACGCCTATACGGCGTTTCGAAGTCCAGCGCGTCCAACACTGCCCACGAGACCTTCAAAATCGCCCCAAGACGGCCCAACACACTCCCAACATGGGCCCCACACGGCCCAAGAGGGCCCCAAGACGGCCCACGAGGCCCTCTGACAGCCCAAGACAGCCCCAAGAGGGGCCCCATCGGAGGAACACGAATCCCACCAACCCTTTAGGGCGTAGGTGCTTTAGGGTGTTTCTTCTTCCACCCCCTTACTTCCCTTCGGGGAAGGGTTTGCCCCTCCCCCTACCCCCTCCGCTGGACCTGGAGGGAGCGTTTCGCGGGTCGTCGGAGCGTCCAAAACGG